TACATGAGTCCTGAAAACATTATGCTAAGAAGCCAGTTCCAAAAGATCACATAAATTTTATTATTCCATTTGTATGAACAATTCAGAATATGCAAGTCTGTGAAAATAGAAAGATTAATGGTTGCTGGGCCTGGGGGAAAAGGGATTGGGGAGTGACTGCTAATGGGTAGGGAGTTTCAATTTAGGATGATGAAAATACGATGGAATTGCTTAGTGGTGTTAGCTGTACAACTTTGTCAATACTTGGGTACTCCAAAAAGTTCAGGGAAAGAGTTTTATTATCTTTTAATTTTATTTTTCCACAGACTTTTCGAAGTACACTTATATATTAAAGCCACTGAATTGCACACTAAAAAAAGATTCATCAAAGAGGGGGTAGATGTGGTAGTAGAACTCACAGATAACAAGGAGAAAAAGAAGCCAATTATGAAGAATATACTTCTTAATGGAAAATTAGTGCGTGTCTGGTCAGAAACAAACTAAAAGAAAAACGTAGCCAAAATTAATATTAGAAGAGATTTTCACTAAACTCACTTTATAGTTTCTAATAAGGGTTTCTCCCATCTTTATTTAAGACAGAAAAGCAGCTAGAGAGAATTAGTGGTGTTTGGTCAAGATATGTAAGATGGAAACAGAATAAGAAACAAAATGAGTAAATCGGTATTTACATTAAGTATAAAATGGTTACATTTTCACTGAGAAACATAGTTGGTTGTATTCATTACCAGATTGTCTCTGTGTTGGACAGAAAAAGGTAGTAGACTAAATTATACTAACTATACAAACAGTAGTGACAAGTATGTGGTATGTATGCTGCCAGTTTCTACACTTGCTTCTGTGTCAGATGTGGCACAACAGTTACTTTCCTACTCATTCCAGGTACACCATCACAATCTTTCTGAACCCAGGGTTTCTATTAACCATTGCTGCTTGATTAAAATTGACACTTAAGGTTAAGCCTATTTGCTATTCTTTATGTAGATCAAATTTGTTCTGTGAAAATATTTGTATTCCTTCAGGATATAGATATGAAATTGTAGCAAAATTTATCAAAATGCTGTCTCTAATGATCCATTATATTAGAGCAGTTCTTTTACTTTTTTGGGTTTTTTTGGGTTTTTTGCAAGTGACCTTTTCTTCAAATGATACATTACATAAAAGTTTAGCATATAAAACAAGGGAATACAGAGCTGCATGAATTGAAATGGCAGGTGTAGGAATGGGTAGGTGCAAGCAAAAGCCAGGTAGCTTACAGCAGTACCATCTACTTTACTTCTGTTCCCTGCCCATAATAACCTCATGAGATACTTTCTGTCAACCCTGTTTGAGAAGAAGATTGCCAGAGTGAAAAAGCTTGGTCATGCAGAAACAATATTTTCTTAGGAATCAGGAGGCCTAATTTTTAACTTGTTCTTTCTCCATTCAGTTGTGGAAGTATGCATCATTCACTTAATCAACCATCTTTTGTCTGCGTCATTCATTGATGAAAGAGGCCATTTGAATTACAGATTTCTAAGGTCTCCACCTATTCTTGGCTTGTGATTTTGAATTAGAGAATTTGATTCATCAAAAACTTTATTAATAAAAACAATAAGACAAATCCAGTAAAAATGAGCAAAGGGCTTGAACAGATACTTTACCAAAAATGTACAAATAGGCAGTAAACACATTATTAGTCATAAGGGAAGTCAAAATTAAAACCACGAGATCCAATTTCACATTCACTGGAATAGCTGTGATTAAAAATACTGGGAATATCAAATGTTAGGATGTGGAGCAACTGGGGGTCTCATATTTACAGGTGAGAATATAAAATGGTCACACTGGAAAAGTCTTAAGGGGTATCTGTCTGCCTATGACCCAGCAGTCCCTTTCTCAGGTATTTACCCAAAGGAAATGAAATAACATCCACAAAAAGATCTATATAAGAATGTTCACAGCAGCTTTATTCATAATGGTCAAAACTTTAACACAATCCAAATCTTCATCAATAGGTAAATAAAGAGATTGTGGTATACTCACGCAATGGAATAATACCCAACAATGAAAAGGAACAAACTACTGAAATATACAATGTCAGTGAATCTTAGAAATTACACTGAAAGAAGCTAGACAAAAAATACTTTAAGATGTATATTATTTGAAGTCTAAGAACAGGCAAACTAATCTATGGTGATAGAAATCAGAAAGTGGTTGCCTCCAACAGAAAGGCTGTGGACTGGAAAGGGCACAGGAAATTTCTGGATTGGATATGTTTTAAATTTTGTTTTGGGTGTGGATTACATGGATTTATACAATTATCAAAACTCATTGAAATGAACACATAGGATGTATGCATTTTATTGTATGTAAATTGTACCTCAATTTTAAAAGTGTTAAAACAGTTGAATAACACTTAGTATGAAAGTTAAATTCTGAAATTGGCTCTGTATCATTCCTTAAGAAGGGGAAAGGGGAGTACAGATCTCAATCTGAGGCAGAAACAGTGGGATTGAAGAGCTAAGGATGTTCATTGGGAAGAAAAACCAGGGGTGGGCAAGTAAGTATATGCTAGAAATTTTAACCCATTTAATTATTTATTATTTTCTAAATATTCATGAGAATTTCTCCTTTTTATTTTCTATGATATGTAAATTATGTTAGATCTAAGGAAAACATGATTCTACTTCTAGGTTTATACCACTAGTTAAGTATTTTCAGTTTACATTTCATTTATTATCTTAAGTTCAATATATACAATATTTCTAATTACCAGATGCTTTTCTGTATATATTTAGATTCTCAGTGATTTTAGTAATAAAATTTAGTTTTGAAATGTTTATAAAATCCTATGAACATCTGAAGCTTTTTGTTTCCTAATTTTTGTAGTATAGTCATGCATTGCTTAACTATGGGGAGAAATGTGTCTTTCAGCAATTTTATTGTGTGAACATCATAGACTGAACTTACGTAGACCTGTATGTATAGCCTACTACACACCTAGGCTATATGGTATGGTTTGTTGCTTTCACCACCATTGTATATGTGGTCTGTCATTGACCAAAATGTTACGCAGTACATGACTGTATTTGGAAATTTTTTTCTCTTGATCAAATCTTCATCTCTCCATCAATGAAGTCATCAGAATCAACTTTTAATTGTACATTTAATTTAGTCTCCTTACAAATATAATAATACAACAGTCAATAAGTGTATGTTTAAATTAAAGATTTAAATTAAAGGGTTATAGTAGGAAACTACCAGAAATACAGGTATGCTAAGCATTATGCTAGTAACCAGTTGTTTGGCTAGCTTGTTTTTGAAATCTTCCCCTGAAGATACCTTTTGTATCAGCTTTTCATTATTAGGCTGCGTTACCTCTTGAATGAGTATAAACTCTAAGCAAAAATGACTTCTCTTTGAAAACTACATTTTCCTACCTGCAGAAGTCTGCCATTCTCAGTTGTGTTGTTGATGACCACATTGTTAAAATGCAATGAGCTAGGTTTATCATAGGTAAATGACTAATAAGAACTTGACTATGTTTGTATAATAATCTTCAGGAGGAAAGAATCAAAACTTTTTTTAAAGCAATTATTTGGGCATACATAGGAACACTAATGTTTCAATTTATAGTCAATACTGTAACTCTTCAGGTGAAATGAATCCTTGAAAAGAAGAAAAAAAATTCTATGATACGTGGAGTCATCTTATTTTGGCTATTAGAAAAGCAGACGGTATCAAAGTAATATCTCATCCAATTTCAAAATACTGAAAATATTTTGAGCTGGATAGTTTAAATGTATTTATGTCTTCCTGGAACAAACTGCTTTATAGATCTCATGGTAACATCATAAAAATAAAAAGATTATAAAATTATTCTAATTAGAGTTTTACAATGCTAGAAATTAAACATACATTTAACTGATTTTTATTTTTTTTTATTTTTTTTTCCCTTAACTAGGTCCTTTCTGATGTTGCTTGAGCTTATTCTCCTGCAGTTGATCTCATTCCTGATGGCTAAACATTAAGTCCCATGACAACATAAAGTTTATGCTCATATGTTTTAGGCCTCATTTATAACACCAGGACAATATTATAGAAAAAAAACTTGTGCATTAGTTCCTCTAATTCCTTTTCTTTAATTCCTAAAAACACCATGACTTCTACAAATAACCATTTTACAGCATTGTCACATCCTTGGTTTATTCTACACTAAAGAACATAGTTGAGTTTTTGGAAAGTACAGGATTTACAGATTTGGTCTTTAATATACACACATCTATAAATATTACAATTAATAAGGCAGGAAATTATTGATACATAAGATGAATGTTTATTGTGGAATAATATTTCTTTTTTAAAATAATTTAGTTTAATTTTTGGATATTTTTCTATACTCTAAGTTGATAATGGTTTCTCAAAGTTTATTTTATAAAGATAATTCATTTTACTGTTTTATGGTACCAATAGGACTCTAATGTTAAATTGGTGTGTTGAGTTATGCAACTGTTTATATTTACATTTAAATAATGAAATATTGGACAATTAGTTTATACCAAATGTTTCTGCAGTCCAGGGGTGAATGTTTTTGCTGGTTTGATGCTAATACAGTTTCAAAAAATGAAAGCAAATATGAATTTGCTGTTTTTTAAATCTTTTCTTCATGTATTACCACTATTGTCAGAACCAAATTTAAAAGAAGCTTCTTTGTGGAGCAAGAAAAATCAGTTTCTCTTTTTCTTTAATTAAACAAACAAACAAAAAAATGTTCAGTGCATTCTAGTAAGATCTCTGAAGCATTTTGTCAGTGAAGGAAAGCAACACTGACTGATAAAACTATCAGGATTTGCAATGCAGTGAATACTGAGATAATCTTTACCAGCGATATGGGATCATCAGGATTTTGAATGTCAGAACATTATGTTAAAATGTGATTATAGTTTTAATGCTTTGTCTCTTTGAATTAAATTTGTATCCATAAAGATGTGCAGCATAATTGTTCATGTATTTATTTACAGACTACAATATCCATCGCAGCTCAATAAATAGTCTTTCCCCTGTTAGTGCTACCCTCTCTTCTGGGACTCCCAGCGTGCTTCCTTATGCTGCACGGCCTTATTCTTATCCAGGCTATCCCTTGTCATCAACTATATCACTTGCTAATGGCAGCCATGTTGGACAGCGGCTATATATCTCCAATCAGTCCTCATTCTTCTGAAGAAAATATTCTAAACTTTAGTATGAAAATTTTTTTGTGTAAAGCTTGCAAATTAAAATACTGTTTTATTTTAGAATCGGGTTTGCACATTTGGTTTTAAAATGAAAATATATTTATTCCAACATACTAGACATCAACTATAATCCAGAATAACTGAGTTGTTGAATTTATAAAAATGCAAAGTTTAAAAGTTATTTAGTGGTTTCTCTTGATAAAGGTATAACAAATTACTATTCTTTTTAAACTTTTGGAATTTTGTTCTAATTCTTGAGTGGGCAATAGGAACCAGTAGGTTATGTTAATTTTTTGCATAATAACTTTGGTAAATAGCATTTCATAAATATTAAAGTACTTGAAGACAGTGGTTATATTAGATTTTTGATTACCAAGGATCACTATCTATATTGGAGATTAGAGCCATTATATAACCAGAAGCATCTAACTATTATGTAGAAAGAAATGATGAGGCAAAAGATTAAGATGCAGATTTTATGCAGTATTAAAGAAAAAGCAGCCTACCATTGTGGTCCTTGAAAATAACCATAAATATTTAGTTAATAATTATTTGTTACAGAAGTAAATTATAATTTTGCTGTTAATGTATTTAAGGTTTTTATAGTTAACCTTCATTTGTGTTTTTGATATTCACTGTATTGTTTGAATAAGTGTTACAGTTTTTTAATGTTGAAATCATGTGTTGTTTAATTTTTGTACTTGAATTCAAATTCTTAGACATTAAATGTGTGATGCTTCTAATATGTGTGTTTTATTTTTATTAGAATGCACAAAAAAAAAACTTAGCTCTTACCATCTCTTTGATCTTGACAACAGTTTCTCTTACAAGGTATACAGTCATAGTCTCAGTGTCTTCATGAGACCAAAGCAAAGGATATTGTAGACAGAAAACTGTTAGTTGTGTAAAACAGTAACAAAAGTAATTTTTACGGGTCAATATAAATACTTTGTTAATAGGCCCCCTGAAGTCTCTCCCTTTTACTTAAGAATAATTAATCAATCCAGGTAATTTTTGTGGTTTAATAGTTTAGTATTGTACATTTATGTACAGAGACAGAAATCTTTCAGATATCAAATGTTACCTTTGTTGATTAACTCATTGTGCAGCTATATGGGAACAGGATTCGCATACATAGTATTTGAAATGGTTCTAAATATTTTTCTTACCAACTTAATTTGAGTTTCTAGAAGAAGTTATATGAAGATTAAATTAATCTCAGTTTATTTCATCCTCTAAAGAAGGTTCTTTTCATACAAGTCTTATACCATGCTTAATTACCTTTCCAGTTAACTGCCTTAGATTTTCTAATTTAAATGAGCATAGACCCTGTATTTAACCATCATTATTTTTTTTTCCTGACATAACTTTGTGTGAATTGCATAGGTTTTGCAATTAAATCGCCATGTATATGGCTCAGAGGTGCATGTCACTCATTCAGCAAACATATAATGAATTTTTATTTTGTTACCTACTGTGGTACCCTGCTGTGATAGAGAGGTGACTCAGAATTCTTGCCAGAAGAAAAACAGACTTTTTCATGGAAATGCTTGGAATGGCCCAAATCATAATAATCACAAATTTCCACAGAGCTTTTTCACTTTGGAAAAGGAAATCTCCAACACTTGAGAGAGCTTACCAGCCACACAGTGTATTTGGAAACCCATGGTAATGTTATGAGAAATGTATAAGCTTTGGTATCCAATTTGGTTACTGATTCTACCAAGTAATAGCTCTTTGAACTTGGACACAGTTTTTAATCTCTCTGAGCCATATCTTTCATCTCTGTAAAATGGCGATAAATTCCTTATAATGTGTAAAACATCTGGAAAATAGAAGGCACTCAAATGGTAACTGATACTATTTGGGTATAATTATATAAAGAGTGTAGTATCATTTCTTTGTAGTTTTTCATTCCTTTGCCCTTCAACCAGAAATATAGAAGTGAGTACATTCATGTCAAACATTGTCTCTTTCTGTGAGGTTATGGATGATGAGTTAATCTTATTCATACCGCATGCAATTTTATTTGACTTGTGAGCATAGCTACTAATTATTTGATGCTTTAATTCTTATATGATGGCTATTTACGACCTTTGTTTCAAAGGAGGGCTTCCCTAGTCAGTTGATCACAAGCTATTGATAAGTCTTAGCCATGTGATACAGCTTATTGGGCGGGGAAGCAGTTCTAAAGAAAAATTTTGCATGCAACTTTGTGCAAAGCACAATGGCTGAGATATGGAAATATGGCTTGTTATGGAGCCATTATCTCACTTAATATCCCTTGTAAGCAGACATATCAGAAAGGTATGCAGAAAGTTTAATTAACCTTATATCTCTAGTTGAATTGTTTTATAATGTTAGAGTGGGAAAGATTTAACTATGACTCAAAATCTAGAAGCCGTAATAGAAATGGTTGATAAATTCAATTTGAAAAGACAGGGCTGAAGCCTGCATGGCAGGAAAGTACCATAGGTTATGTCAAAAGACAAAATGATAAAACTGGAACAGAATTTGCATGTTGTTTCACAAAGAGCTAATATTCTAGATATCAATACTCTAGTTTTCTAGGTATCAGTAAGGAAAAGACCAATGACCAAAGAGAAAAATCAATAAAATGTATGAATAGCCGTATGACAAATGGCCCTTACGGGTATTAAAAAAATGTTTTTATCTCACTCATAATAAGAGAAATGCAAGTTTAGATTGACAGAAATCTAAAAGTTTGGTAAACTTTTGATGAGCTTTTAAGGAAATGAGTATTCTCATACATTGCTGGTAGAATTATAAATTGGTATAATTCATATAGAGAGTAATTCGGCAGCTATCAAACAATTACACGTACTTAAATCTTTTGATCTAGCCATCCTATTTGTGGGATATACTTACATGTGTTTATGTGAAGCAATATATGTAAAAGTCTATTCATCATCAAGGGATTGATGAAATAAAAAAAGAATTTATCAGTACATACTTAAAAAGCTGTACAAAAGACAGGGAGGACTCTCTTTATCCTGATACAGAGAGAGGTAATAAGTGAAAGACAATGCTAAGTGAAAAAACAGGATTCAGAAATGTATGTGTAACACAGTATGCTATTTTTGGGTAAAGAGGAAGAAAAGAACATACATATGTGCTTGTATTTGCACACAAAACTTTGGAAGGATACACAATAAAAGTGGTTGTGGGAGAAGTAGATGAGATCACACTGTAGAAGTCCCTTTTATTTCCAGACACAGTGCAATAATAAATAAAGTAAAAACACACATAATTTTTCACGGAAACAAAGTAAAGATCTCTAGTGAACAGTAATCCGAACACGAACATTAGGGAAAGCTGCACTGATCTATCTACTGAATTGCCAGAAATTAATAGGTTTTGAGTAGAAACCCAGGGCCAAAATAAAGCTAAGTGTTAAAGAGCACTGCAGGCAGCAGTGCACTTCACTACTTTTGACTGAATTGGTCCAAAGTGCTTGAAATGTGTGTTACTAATTATGATGTGTGTGGTATGAAGCATGTTAAATCTCTGGTAGAAAAGTCTTAGTGAGGGCCGGCCCAGTGGCGCACTGGATAGTGCGCCGCTTGGGAAGCGCGGCGGCGCTCCCACCCGAGGGTTCGGATCCCACATACAGACCGGTTCCCGCTCACTGGCTGAGCGAGGCGCGGGAGCAACACCAAGGGTTGCGATCCTGTTGCCGGTCCCCGGTCCGGTACGGGGGCAACACTGAGGGTTGCGATCCGTTGCCGGACACGGAAAAAGACAAAAAAAAAAAAAAAGAAAGAAAAGTCTTAGTGATTTAGAGCAAAGTCATGTCCTGTTAAGCAAATAATTAGTCTTTTGAGAAATAGCTTTTAGCTAGTGATTAGGTCTAATAAAGATTGACTATGGAACACCAAGTATGTTGAGCTACCCATATAAATTATTACTTGATCACCAAATTCATAAAGTTGAGTGTGTCCAGTACCATGCTGCCATCCTTTGCTCAGTGTATTGTATCATTGAGGGTTCCTAAGATCAGTTGTCTGATGGAGAAAAATTTGGAACCTAGTATACTGAGGATAATGGAAGTTATCAAAAACCAAATCTCTTCACACATCCTGTAGAAACTATATACAGCAATAACAAAAGTAACTGAAGCCACAGGTGATTCACATCTTCAGCATAACTAGAGAACATTATGATTTTCAAATTACCTGTATGTAAAAATAAATAAATACGGACATAAATTCCAGCATGTATTTCTTGAGTTCTTGCCACAAGTCTGTTGATAAGAAGGGATGTCTTGAGGGGCTGGAAAACAGAAGACAACAGAAGAGTAGAGGTCCTAATGGTGAGCTAACAATGTCCTCCCCAATTGTGAAAATACTGTAAAATAATCCTGGTATGTGTAAGCAATAAGTAAAGAAAAAGGGCTTAAAATTGTGTGGACTTGAGGTGATAGTCTTGGAAAGGCATCACTTCTAGGAGAAAAGAGTCAAAAAGACTAGTAATGTGGCTTACAACAGCACCAGAGAGACTGCAGTATCACAGGCAGACACAAGGGGAAGCTCCTAAATAGAAACTGGTAAACCTCTTCAATTAGATTATGCACATGCAACCAAAGAGAATGCGTACACAGAAAAGGCTTGAGAGGTATCCAGAATCACTAGTTAGGCTAAGTGGAGAAAGTCTTTTCTGTATGACACCAATCACAAAGTCTGGGAGAGGTGGCTGATTCTTCATGTGGCGAAATCGCAACAAAAAAAATCATGACATACAAAGAAACAGAAATATGGCACTTTTAAGGGAACAAAATCTCCAGAAACCAACACTTCAGAAATGGAAAAATATGAATTACCTGATATTATGGATTGAATTATGTCCCCCCAAAAGTTTAGTATGTTGGAGGCTTGGCTCCCACTGTGGCAGTGTTAAGAGGGTGGGAAATCCTACTGTGGTAGTGGAAAGATGGTGCCCTCAAAGAGGTGATTTGATTGTGAGGACTGTACCTTCATGAATGGATTGATCCCTTGGGATAATGGGAGTTGTTCTGGTGGCTTTAAAAGGAGAGCAAATGATGAGGTTAGTCTCTCCTCTGCCATTCTCACTAAATGACACACTGCCTTGCTGTAGAGTCACCAACAAAAAGGGGCCTTACCAGGTCTGTTCCCTGGACTTTGGACTTGCCATATTCTGAAACTGTAAGCAATAAATATTGTTTCTTACAGATTATACAGTTCCAGGTATTATTTTATAATCAACAGAAACAGACTAGTACACCTGACAATTAAAAATTAACATTATAAGGATGTTCAATGAATTAAAAGCACAGATAGAAAACTAAATGAAATCAGAAAAATTATGTATAAATAAAATGGAAACAGCAACAAAGAAACTATGAAGAAGAACAAAAATTTTGGAACTGAAAAATGCAGTAACAATTGAAAAATTCACTACAGAGAGGATCAACAGCAGACTTGACCAGTCAGAAAAACTCATCAGTAAACTCTGAAGACAGGCCTTTTGATATTACCAAGGCAGAGGGGCAAAAAGAAAAAATAATGAAAAGTGAAGCAAGACTAAGGAACGTATGGAACACCATTAAGCAAAAACAACATATGCGTTATGGGAGGCTCAGAAGGAGAAAAAAAAAAGCAAAAGGAGCAGAGGACCTACCTGAAGCAATAATGGCTCATACTTCCAAAATTTGAGGTAAGAAGTAGACATACAAATTCATGAAGCTCAAAAAACTCCAACTAGG